AAGCCTTTGTAGGGATGCACAAATCCCAGGAGCCCTGTATGCTCCTTAAAAATGACAGCCTCCTCCTAACTTTGGAGTTTTTCTATAGTCTAGTCTTGGAGCTGGAAAAGTATCTGTACATGTACCAATTAGGGTACTTGGTATCTCTACATCCTTAATAGTCGTAATAGTCAGTTGTCAGCCGGGTGAAGAGACCTCACAAGCACCTTTCCCCTATGTGATATTTTACAGGCCCGACATCATCTCTGCACCCTAGACCTTGATGCCTTCCCCCAGTTTTAGAAAACAAAGCATGCCGTTAACACTACATCTTTCCTCTCCTGCAGGTAAAGAGATAAATGCTGTCAGTAGAGAGTGGTGAAATGAGATCACCCAAGTGAGGAGCAGTTATCTGTCACTGACATCACTTAAAGCAGGATTACGTTCAGGAGAATACAGAATCCAGGACTCAGGTAAATGTAGGTCACAGCAGACGAATGACAAACTATCTTCACTTATAAAACTGCAGATTATAGACCTGTGACAAAAATAACATTATTTGAAATGAATATGCATTTTTTAGATACATATCTCAGGACTTTAACATATTGTAAATAGTCATTCTGTGTAAATGCAGTCACCACGTCCTAGAAGATTGAACAACTTTCATATGCTAAAGAAGGAACATGGTGTGCATGGGTGAAATACTCCATGGTAAAATCTCCTGCTGATCTCCGGTCTACATTCATGTTCTCCAGCAATGGCAGCATGGCATTTCTCAGGGCAAGTTTAAAGATGATGGCAACAATGGACAGTGCCTGTATACTATGCTTTGTCACAGTTGCTTGCAGTGAGTATGTGTTTACAGAGACTACGTGGGAAACAGGGACAGAGTGTTGTCACCAGGGCTGGGCTGAGGAAGTGGCAGAAGCGTCACCCGCCTTGCACACCATGCTGCCAGGAGGTTCTGTACATGGCCACCTGGAAACAGCAGAATGTCTTAGGTAACGTCCACATGCAATGCTAAGCATTTATGATTGGAAGAACTGAAATCCAATGAATGAAAGAATGGGGCGGGGGGGCTGCCAGGGACAGTCAAGCACAGAAGGACATAGTTAGATGATGCTGGATGTACTCCAACCAAAATATGACGGGGCTCTATCTGACTTGCTGCAGTGTCTAATGCACTCTACGAGAAGCTCACAGTGTAAGTAGTTTCAGTACAGCAGAGGGGCCGGTACAACTGGACAAGACTGAAGGAAAGGCCAGAGTCGTCAGGAAACCAGGGGTGTTACCTCTCCTCGGGGCCAACGGGTAAGGTGCAGGGCACGAAGTCTCCTCCAGCCTGGTAGAACTCCTGGCGCCGGGGTTGCAGGTGCACATGCATGAGATGCGCTTTGGATGCGCGTGCACGATACACAGGCGGCGCACGTAGCGCATCTGTGCCCATTAGAACTATCAAATGTGGGCCTTACTGGGGGAGGTTCCCAGCACGCACCTTCCATCCCTCTCGCCTGCCATTGGTTCCCATGGAGGGAAGCCTCCTGGTTGCCCCAGTAACCAGGGGGTGATCTTACATCCCCAGGCTATAAAATCCTGGTCAGAGCCCTGGCTTGTTGCCGAGTTATTCCACCCTATGATGTGATCGCCTAGCATCTCTATCTGTGAATCTTGCTGTTGCTCCCTGACCCCGCATATGGACTTTCTGTTTGTTGACCCCTTGGACTGTTTGTCGCTTCTGAACCACTGCTGCCCGCCTCGACCCGGATTGGACCTTGACTACCCCCTTGGATTGCCCTTTTGTACCTTGCTCTCAGATTTTTCCAGCCACTTCCTGCCAGTGGGTTCCTCTCCATGCTGCCAGCCCGTAAGCACGTCTGACAGGAGTTTAGCTTTATATTATTCCATTATGACCATATTTTCCATCCTTAGACTGAAGTTATTGAAGGGATTAGTTGGCCCAGAGGGTACCACATCAAATTACGTATAATAGGTGAAAATTTACTTTTAAGGTACCCGATGATAACATCTTGTATATTCAAGTAAGACTGTGAATAGAGGTTAAAAGAGAACTATGGGGTAATTTTCACTCACCTCATAGTTCTACTTTAAGTCTTTCAATGGGGACATTAGTTCTGGTGACTACCATGGAGGAGGAAATCTCCCCACTAGAACACATATGGCAAAAAAAGACAAGGGTTATACCCTTACCCTACTGAAAAATGAAAAAACAATTGGCTTTAGTTCCACTTTATTATTAATATAATATTATATAAGATTATAGTGATTGGGTTTATATATAGTCTAATTCTTAACACTAACCCCCTTAACTTTAACCATACCCTTAGAGCTTAATTTACAAAATGCCCCTAGATGGTGCTGACAAGCATAGGAATTATACTCATTACCCCCATCATGTGGTGTTAGTGCCAAGCGAACGACATCCACCTTTTTAATGGGTGGACGATAAATATATGAGGCCAGGTGCACATTTGGGGTCCTGGGACCGAGCTTTTAGTGTGCGGTTGCACACAGCGTTTGCCACACGGCACCATTTAGTATCAATGGGGTTATATCCCTGTGGCAATTGCAGAAAAAAGGTACTTACACCGAGTATTTTTTTCAGCCACGATAGTGTGTGATTGCACGGACAGAATCACGGTGGGAAACGCGCGATCTGACTGGGGTTCCATTAGAAAAGAATGGCACCCCCAGCAAAACCAGTGGTGCTGTATGATTCCGTAGCCGCGTGGCCATCCGCACGGTTTCGTGCACGATTGCCGCCCGGACATGGATCACCCAAGTGTGAACCTGGCCTCAAGCCCTTAATCTAAACCACCAGACCCCTGACCCTAATAATAACTCAGATCTAAAGCATCACCAGAACGATCATCTACTCACCATACCTCAACTTAAGCCATATCATAAAAACTCTGGTGCTGCCACTAACAATGTCCATTTCCCATTTCATGTATATTAAGATAAAAACAGACTTTACAAAACGTCCAACACTGAACACAGCAAAATGATTGAATAGGTAAGAAAAAAAAAGAACACAAAGTCTTTAAGGTGCAAATTTTAATTCAGCAAATAATAGATAATATTTTGGTGCCTCTGATCTGCGATGTCTTTTGGAGGTACCTGTGTGTCAGGAACGTGACAAATATTGAAGTTGGTTTTTCTAGGCTCCACTTCCAGCGAATATTTCATTTGATGGTATAGAAGAGCTGCAGCACCACCTAGTTACCAATACAATTACTGCTCCTAGATTCCACACAGCTAATATCATTGAGACTCCAATGTATGCCAGCACAGAGAGTGTATGGGCTTTATGGAAATGGGCAATGATTAACCAATCTAATTTTCAACATTAAACAGAATCTTCCCGTGCACCGATGTTACATGCTTTAGGAAAATAGATTGGTGGATTAGGCTGATGCCTGTAGCTGAAATTAATTTGTAATTCTAAAAGTGAAAGATTTAAATGTGATTTATTCCACGGTAGCTATTTTTAGCTTAATTGCAGAAGAGACTCTTGCAATGCCAGAGCTAAAACATCGGTCTAAAGCTCCGTGCACATACACATATTATTATAATTATTATTATACAGGATTTATATAGTGCCAACAGTCTGTGCAGCGCGCTACCAAATAAAGAGAGACAGTAACGTTACAATATAATTCAGTACAAGAGGATTAGGAGGGCTCTGATCATGGGAGCTTACATTCTAAACAATTTAAGATCATATTAAATAATCATAATACTAATAATAATAAATAATGGTATTATATAATAATAATTATTCTATATAATAATATATAAATAACATTTGTGATTTTCCCGGTCCAAACAACGCAGGCTGCTGGGGTAAATATAAAGATTATCTGCTTGAAAGTCTTGAACCAAGCTGGGCAGAGCTCCTACCTCCCTAGGGCGATAAAGAGGACCTGAACTCTGGAACCAAAGGCAAGCAAAAGACAGAGCACTAGTCACAGTATTGTCTGTAGTCACAAGGCCAACGCATGCAGGGCCAACTATTTAATGAGGCTCTTGCCTCAGACAGCATCTCTTTGGGTCAAGTGGGGGGCAGGAGGCAGAGTGGCATGGCTGCTGCACAATGTTTGAAGTGTGCCTATCGCTCCCTTTCTAGCCAGAGTGTCCCAGGTTGCTAAGAACAGGGTGGGGAGATCTGTAAGGGCCATACACGTCTACCAGCCCAGCTCCCAGCAACCTCTTGCCAGCTTCCTGCCGAGCTGGACGGGGACATGCAGAGCTTGCAGAGTGCAGCATCACTCATGTGTTTGGTGGTGCTGTCTCCTCTACCTCCCACTGCTCTGATTGCATGAAGTTTGTGGTGTGCCTCTTTTATTCATTGGGTTTTAGTTCTTCCAAGCATGAATGCTCAGCATTGCATGTGGGTGCTACCTAGGACCGCCTGCTGTTATAAGACAGCTATGCGCAGTCCCATCTAGTAGCCACAATCTATCTGCATTGCATTAAGAAGCACACAAACTCCGTTATGAGGTCATTCAAATAAGGAATGCAATGAAAACAGAATATTTAAAAAAAAAATTGAATTAGCATATTAATTAAGGGGGGCGAGCCAGGGATGACAAAATATCACCAGATTAAACTTCAGCTTTAAACTGACACTAAACTCAGAAGTTAAATCTTAAAAATTCCTTCAGGTAACTTTATTAACAAAAATGTATCCTTTTATTGTATCACTCAGCTGTAGATTCTCATATCATCTCTGAATTGGTGCTGGCACTGTCCTTCCTTGTGGAGGGTGGCTACTTTTGTTCCCGATGGTCCCTGTGTGTGTTGCAATGTAGCCACCGCTCCAAGCGCACTCCCGTGATGGACTACAATCTCAATACAAATTAGTAAACTAAACATGAGATTGTAGTCCATCACAGGAGCGAGCTTGTAGTGGTGGCTACTTTACAACACACACAGGGACCATGGGGAACAAAAGTAGCCCCCCTCCAGAAGGAAGGACAGTGTCAGCACCAATTCAGAGATGATTTGGGGATCTACAGCCGAGTGATACACAAATAAGTTCCAATATTAGGTGAATAATTAGGGTACTTGAACACATTTTTAAGATTGAAATCCTGCGTTTAGTGTCACTTTATGTAGCTTTCAGTCTAGGAGGGATGTACATGGAGGTGTCTCTTGATCTGGGTAACATTTGGATGGATGTCCTTTGGTAGTAGAGGGGCAAGCTGGTGTCTATTTGTCTGTTGCCTCGTCTTTCTTTTCTTGAGCCATGATATCCCTGGAGATGCCACTGTAGCATCTGCTCACAACCAACAATGCACATATATCCATTCTCCTTTTGTATTTAGATTGGAGGAGCTGTTCCCTTACTCGTTTACTGTTATGGTTTGTTGCATATTCTTATTTGCTCTTACATCCTCCTGGGGATGCAGAATCCTCCCATTGTATTGTCTTCAGCATTGCCTTTATTTCCCATTTGCTTCACAAAAAGGATTCTTTTCCCCAGAGTCCTCTCTGGTCTCTCTCGTTCTCTCTCTCATTTACTCTGTTATGAGGATAACTTGGTGGCAATACTTCCAGCAAGCTAGTGACATGTAAACACTAGGCTAGCTCAGAAAAGCTGACATGAAGACAAGATTGTGAACTTTCTTGCGTAATGAGATGACCGGAAAAAAAAGGCAAATCATTCCCTTTAAAGTGCACCTGTCACACACATTTGTGGAAGCTTTGTTGTATGCTGAATGAAAATTCCCTAGATTTGCCATTTAGCCAATATTTCACCAGTCTGTTTACTAAAAATGAGACCTTGTGCCAATGTTACTTACAAAGTGCAGGTTATTAGGGTTGCCAGTTCTCTGATACTTGCACAGGCATCCCTTATTTTAATTAAAGTGACACTAAACTCAGGAGTTAAATCTTAAAAATACATTCAAGTACCTTAACTATTAACAAAAATGTATCTTATTTGTGTATCACTCGGCTGTAGATCCTCAAATCATCTCTGAATTGGTGCTGACACTGTCCTTCTTTCTGGAGGGTGGCTACTTTTGTTCCCCATGGTGCCTGTGTGTGTTGTAAAGTAGCCACAGCTCCAAGCTCACTCCTGTGATGGACTACAATCTCATGTTTAGTTTACTCATTTGTATGGAGATTGTAGTCCATCACAGGGGCGAGCTTGGAGCGGTGGCAACTTTATAACACACATATGGCCAAGGAGAACAAAAGTAGCCACCCTCCAGAAGGAAGGACAGTGTCGGCACCAATTCAGAGATGATTTGAGGATCTACAGCCGAGTGATACACAAATAAGATACATTTTTGTTAATAATTAAAGTGACATTAAAGTCACAATTCTTTTCCTCCCCACGCTGCTTTAAGGACTTACCTTAACCTCCCTGGTGGTATGATAATTTTTGATGATGCGGACGCTCGCTTTCGACGGAACCCAGAAGACGGATGCCGGCATCGGCCGGAGGACACAGTGGGGATTGCGGACAAGGTAAGAGACGCGACGCTGTATTCATGAGTGTGGCTCGGGGTCACCGCTTATAATACTGAAAATTAACCCGGAGCCACACTCGGAAATACCACCAGGGAGGTTAAATGATGCCTCCTGATCTGATCATCTTCCTCCTTCCAATTGTATTCAGCAATCCCTCCAGCGCTCGTGCCGGTCTCTGAAGATTGCTGTGTCTTCTGTGTCCCGCGGTGTCTGTCCGACATGCACGCTCACGACTGTGTGCATTCACCTCCATGTGTGCCTCTCCTCTTCTCCCCACCACAGATCTCTACTGCGCATGCGCCCACCCATCATCCTGCTCGGCCACGAGAAGCTCCAGATCTTCAGATGGGAGCGAGCGGCAGAGACACAGTTTTTTTTTACTTTTAATTTTTTTAAAATGTTTTTGCACACATCTACTTGCTAGCAGTAGATATATGCAAAAAACCCCCCCGAGAATTTAATTCTACTTTAAGGTACTTGAATGCATTTTTAGGATTTAATTCATGAGTTTAGTGTCACTAAAGCAAACCTGAAATAAGACGAAGCTTTGTAGTCTGGAGGTCCTTGCAATAATGGGCGAGAAGCTTTGTAGTCTGGAGGTCCTTGCAATAATGGGCGAGAAGTGTTGGAGGCAGGAAGGGACAGGGACAAGAACTACCTATGTATGTAAAGTCAGTATTTGCACTTTAGTGCACCTAAAAACCAGGCAGGTGACTTCTGTCATGGCAGAACTTAAGTTGGAAAAATGCTAGTAGGTGGAACTTTTTTGGATAAAAAGGCTTTGTATATCCCTTCTGCCAAAACACTCCTTTCCCTCTTTTGTAGCAATTTGTTTTAATGTACACTGTGGAGCATGTGGAGTGCAGCATTTATTATCAGCATCTGTATATTGGCAAACAGTTGAAATGAATGCTGCGATAATGCAACTCTATTGCACATTTGCCGGAGTTGTGTCATCATTGGCCACCCAATAATGGAAACCAGATTCCGGATGCGCAAGAAGATGGTAGCAGCAGTGACTGAGCACAGAGCCGTCATCACTAAAAGAGGGCATAATAATAGTTACATTTGCCTTAATATGCTAGTATGCCGCACACATTATGGCAAGTGCTCCCACGCCAACTGCCCCCCCCCCCACCCCCACTGAAGATTGTATTATGTGAGTATTATGTGATAAGGTGCTGCAGGTTCACGTGGAAGGCTTCTGAATTTGGCTACAGTTTGTTATACAGAGCTCAAACTAGAGTACACTGAGCGGACCATTGGCAGGTGAGTGGACCATCAGCAGCATTATCCCAATCAGCACTGACTGATTCAATGATTCTTAGGACAGGAATTTATGAAAGCATTTAAGGATTGCAGTAGCACATTAAAAAATACACATTATTATTTTGAAATCAAACTCAGGCTCCAAATTACTGTAAATTAACTTTATTAATAGTGCACATAACTGCGTCAGCACTCAAACTAAGTGCAAGTCCATATTAATACAGTGTACAGAAATATTTAAAGAATAGTCTAAAATACAATAATCAGCTGAATCCACTTTCATGACAAGTAGACATGTCTTTTTTTTTTATTTTAAATAAAATATGCATCTTAAAAATTAAATATGTCCCATAAAATGGATGTATTTACACACACAGAAAAGTCTGACCAGGATAATCTGCAACTCTCTGCAAATTATTTAATACCACGATGCAAAAGGGAAGTGCTGTGACCCTTGGTAGGTGGAATCAGTTTTTTTTGGGTTGCTGTTGTCAGCCCAAAAGGAAAACCTATTGCTCATTGGTTACCAGGGGTTACTGCACACCAAGGCCTTTTACATTGTGTCATTAAGGAAAAGCATCTACGACAAAAACACACAAAAAAATACACAGAAAAATTTGCTACATTCATGACAGGAACTGCGTACGGTGGCCTAATGTGTATTTAACACACAAATTCTGTAAAGGAATGCCACTGTTCTGTGGAATTGAATGTTATGTATTTATAGGGTTGTAAAAATTGCCATTCTGGAGGCAGATTGTGAAGGTCTATCCGTTCTACAGGAGGAAACAATGACAACTTCGACACTTTGCCCCATATGCATGTTTGTCACCAACTTACAAGGGATGGCCCTAAGATAATTTCATAAAATGTTTCCAATGTGCAAATGATAACACCCTTTGGCTGTCAAGGACAATTAACAACCAAAAATGCCTTATTAACATAGAAAGATGCATGGGATAATAGCAGTGCCAAAATTGAATCAGTATAGGTCCATCCACATAATTACCACCAGCCAGTTAAAGAGGAATTTTGCCCACCAATTTAATGTCTCCCAAAACAGTTACTTTCAAGGCAAGTCAACTGTCACGGTTGCCGGTGTGATTTTTTTTTCCAGTTCTTAACTGAACTCTTAAGCCCTCAAATGGCTGGTGTCATAGCTGATCACATGTGCAGCACCATGGCAACTGCAATCCAAACAGAGGCCAAGATGGCACCTTCCTTGGCTGTAAGAGACAAGAGGTTGTAGTTCCACTTAAAGCAGAAGAATCTTGGGGCAATTAGGGATGTGATTTTAAATGGATTCTGAAGCAATAAACTGGATAATTTCTTAAATCTCTGGAGGACTCTATTGAAGAGATCCATGGACTTCAGCTCCTAGGCCTGTACACCTGCTTTGGGTATTACAAGGGGCTCCTACCCTCCCTGTCAGTTTTTTTTAAAATTATGGAGAATGTACAAAGCCTTTTGGCAAAAGTACATAGCATAATCCTCTGCTGCTTCAAAGGAGACTCTGGTAGAAATTTCATCACTGCTCCCCGAACTTTGCCTGGTCTTATAGTAAATTTAAACAAAAAGCACATTATGTCAATTCATTGGCATCGAACAAAAACCTTGACACATTTTACACCTTTAGTGCTTACTCATAAGGTGTTATACGTTAGTAATACATTGCAAAATGAGGATTCTGTTTGATGCCATTGTATGATGTGCTCCTCATTTGAATAAATGGCTACCCATGTAGCAAGACACCACTGAGGACTCATTGTTTTACAAAGATGTTTGGCAGTTGAATGACACAGGGCAGTCTGAGGCACTATCACAGCTTGGGCACAGGCTGAGGTCCTATGTACAGTCTGGGCCTATAAGGTCTGTGGGGATCAAGTTGAAGGATAACCCAGATACTTGCAGGACATCAAGGTGCTTCACTTTAGCACTGTCGTTACCTTAAAAATGTCTAGGTCAACCCTGACCACCCCAACTGGAGAGAAAAGATATTCCAATGGCCAAATAAACCCAAGAGGGTAAAATATACCCATGACTAAATCTTTGTATGGTGATGAATTGTTAGTCTCGAACAGTCATCTGAAAGCAACCCATCCATTTGGTTCACGCCCTTCATAAAGCCTTCTGTCAGCTTTTCTTAGACAGATTGGCTTCTAAAGACGTATTGCACTTCATAGCAGGTCAGCTACTTGCTGTGGCACAGATGTCCTTAGCTAGTGTGAGCAGCCATCTTGTATACAGAGTTAGGTGGGCAGTGACATGGCTCGGGTACAACGATGTAGGCTTCTAATGTGCTGAATGTGTCTGGTATGAGGAATGGCAATTTTAAATAAGTGTTTTGTAGGAATTATTTTGAGAAAGGGGGCCTGTAAATGATATCCCTGCCATAAGCAATCGGAGAGAGAAAGTGGGGAACTAGCTACTGGCTGCTCTGGCTTGTTGCCGCTGTCGCTCCGACAGTGGGATAGGGTGGCACGCTTTTCACAATGTCTTCTTAATTGGTAGCATTTGTTTTACAACAAAGCTCTTCAAGGCAAGGAGAACTGTTTGTGTTGCCTCACAGCAACCCATCAACTGGCATGAGAAACATGACAAGGAGAACCTGGCTGATATGGGAAATACAGATCAGACACTGTCATACAAAGGCCCAAAATGGCCGACTACCTTTCCTGCCAGACAGCCATATTCTGCGACAGTGGAACTGAATGAAAACAGCACTTGCATTCAAAAAAAACACAATGTGGATATATGCATACAGAAATCACACTGCAATCATTGCACATAAAATATCTACAAAAATCAATAAGCCTTATAAAAAGTTAATTTAGGAAAAATCCAGCAGGTAAAAAGAACCAACAAAATATCGTCATATAAAGATATTCACATAGTAGAGACTTTAGAATGTGTTACATTAATGAAGCCACCAGTATAACAAATCCATAAAGCACATTGTTTTATTGGCCTGTCATATCATAAGCTGGCCACACAATTCCCAGCCACAGAACCCTATTTTGAACACAGTGTTTTAAAAAGGAACTTTTTGGGGGGTGTATTTATAAAATGTTTGCAGAGCGAAGAGCTCTGTGAACTTCTAAGTTTTCGCTTTGCAGCACGTTGTGGCCATTGGCCTTGGCTCCATCTAGTCGCCATCATTTGCTGTGAATTTAAAATGTAGAGGTTCGCAGATCTGATTGCTCTGCGAACGTTTTATAAATACAACCCTTCATATTGCAGCTCCAGGCCTATTTGTCCTATGCGACTCTTTCACTGATATTTTTCAGCACAGTTTTTCATTTATTCAAATGTTGTTGTCCATTATGTGGGCAACATACCAGAAGTCATACACCACTGCAGCGTACATAAGGCTTGCATGCTATTATTGAGGGTACAATAAGAAGTCCATCTAAGGGTCCATTCACATATAATCAAGCATTTTTACAACACTCTCTCAGGGCCCAGCGCATTTGTATGTGTTGTACAGCACAAAACACATCCCATTAATTCCTAGGTGCATATTTATGTGTTGCAGCTCTGTGTGTCCATTTTTTTGTGCATGCATGTGCATTAATTACATAGATGTAATGCACTGTCAAGGCTAAACAGGCTTTTTGTGCTTGGATATTATCAGACGGAACAAAATGTATTTACTTAGGGGATGACTTATAATGCATCTGCATAGCGTACAGCTGTGCAAATGAAGTTCACAGTGCATTACTGATGCTAGATGGAGCTGAGGACCATAGGAATTTTCATGGAATTACTGCTCCATCTATTGGCAGTAATGCACTGTGAATGGATACTATGGGGCGTGTTGCTGTGCCAATGCGTTATAAATTAGTCCTACAGTATCCACAAATCTCAAACAAGGTTTTTTTTTCCTCTATCTTGGATGATGGGTGGAAACATGCAAATCATTAACTTTTGCCCCCAAGCTCAGCTGTAAATTCAGTCAATTCATAGGGCACATTAAACCAGTTTACCCAACTTGCATACCAGTGATTAAAGATTGATAGCTTTGTAGTACTATTGGGAACATGTTTTGTGCGGATTATAATTCGTGTCATCCTAAATTGAATGGTTGTTCTGTATTGCAGGGTAAAAAAAAGAATAGGCTCCCCTGCCACAACAGATAAAGGATGTTCAATAATGATAATGATCCTACTTATTCTTCTCCATTTTCCTGTAAATTGTCTCATTAAAATATATTGTTTTCCCACCACGATCATCATTAAATCGGTCACCTCGAGGGAGACCATTGAATCCAACAAGTTATTTTTGCAAGAGCAAAAAGGCCCCTTTTTTAGTATTTGCCACAAATTATTTACAGACATAAATAAAGACCATTAGCACGAAAAGCAGAAATTTACAAATAAATACAGTTTTAGTAACAGAATTTATACATTTTTGTAATGACTGCGGTGGCTCTTTGGGCTAAAACTGGTACTCAATATGGATTTTTAGTCTAAACTGACCTTGTTATTGAATGGAGGTTTGGGAAAGTTACTCTATAACTGAACAAAAAGTGACCCTGGGTGTCACCATGTCCTATCAGTAACCTATTTGAGAGGCACCTTCATTATACCATATCATATAATAGGAGAAGTAGCCAGGCACCAACTCTCTATAATGTCAACATTTGCAGGTGCCTTGGGACTGAGGAAAGTATTACCAGTCAGCACCTGGTGGTACCTATCCTTCAGTTCTAAGTTTAGTTTGGCAAGTGCCAGTCTTAGATTAGGTACATTGATATGAAGTTGGGGACATAATTAACATTGCAAAAGGGATCCTCATATCTCAGAGCAGAGGATGGGTGATTACACTACAGTTTGAGGAGGATGGTGTGTTATGAGGTCAAGAGGGTTGGTGAATGACCTTGGCGAGTGCTAACCAGCTGGCAAGATATCTATCCATGGGGCAGGCTAACAGCTCAGGCAAATCTTGAAGCTAAAACATACACAATTCACTCAGCCTTAAATGCCTGCAAAGCCATTCAGAGGCAAGCCATCATTCTGCATATCAGGAAGGAGTGCAGGAGATAATCAGCCTGCCCAAAGAATGGCCTATTCTCTTCAATAGACAGAGCAGCTCCTGGTATGAGATGCGTCCATTTATAGGGAGACGTCCCCTGCCTCATACCAATACTGAATCTAAAACTGTTGGTGGAGAATTCTTCCATCATATTTTAACATAATATGAAAATGGGCGCTTAGTATATCTAACATTAAAGTGTCTGAAAGAGGATATGTCTGTGTCGCCCATCTCCTCTGATGTGTGAGTCCCGATGGGGGAGAGGAACAGGTTGGAGTGTCCCTGCCCCTTGATCAATAAAGTTGCCCTTGAATACATGGTGGAAGAGGTGTGTGGTCTCACACTTTCTGGTGCACTAATAGGAGGGAGGTGATGATGTCAAGAGTCTGGCCGGTACTGGCTACTGGCGACGACCAAGTGGCTTTGAGAGAGGCCCCTGAGCTTTGGCAGTGATCTTACATTCCTACACAAATACCTGATAGAACCCTGGGAAACATTTTAATTTTTACACATAAAGACAAATAGCTTTACAAATTTATAATGGGGTTATGCGTCACCACTTTAGCCTGGATTTCTACTGAACATTAATTGCCGTGAAGCTGGTGTTGTGGATAATGATATCTCCAAACACACAGCTGACTTCCTTTTCATTAAATTCAATGAAGGTGGATCATTGTGCAGCCTCCTGATTGGTCAACCAATCAGGACTCACTTTGCTGAAGGGCAGCATAAGGTAGATTCTCACTGGCTGCATTAGATTACTGCACTTAAAAGTCGAAGTGGAGAGTAACGCCTGAAAACTAAAATTTGCCAGCAGGTAGGGTCTTTGGTAGAAGAGACTTTACATGTTTCTTCTGCCGAAAAACACTCTTTTACCTACCAGTAACAATTGTTTAATGGGTGCATGTGTAGTACATTGCACAGCTCACACGTCTTAAAAATGTTAGGAATAGAGCACGCATGCGTGGGAGTTGCATTATCAGTGCCTGCCCAATAAGAGAAGCAAGGAGACAGTCAAAAGAAGAGAAAGATAACATGTCATCGGTGGGGAGACAGTGGATAATGGGGGCTTGGACCTCATATCGCTGGAAGAGAGCACATTCAGATGTAAGTGTATCATACTGGCTGTGCATACATGCACATTATGGCAAATGCGGTCTGCCCCCATCACCACTTTAAGAATAATACACATTACTGAATAAAACTGAGGTAAAAGGCATCACTTTTCAGTGACAAATCTGTGTGCAGACGTAGGTCATTTTACTTATACAGCTATGAACGTTATAAATAGCTGTTTCACATAATGAAATGATTGGAATGTTTCTATTTTAAGCTTAGCAGTGCTTTCAGACTTAGGACGTCGTATGGGGTATTGGGTCATAACGTCAGAGCTGCTTCTCTCTGCTCTGTGTCAGAAAATTTGCAGGGTATGCAGTACAGATCGGAAGGTGCTAGATTAGGCTGATGGCACTCTGTGACATTTGGCAGTGACCGATAGCATTCTATCACTGAGAACCTCTGAACATTTCAGTCCTTAACACAAACAACAGACAGGAAAGCAACAATAGAATGAAGACAATTCATGCAGCAGTGGGAGTGTTACTAGTATTCGTGGTATTCCAGGTCGTTCCCTGCTATGTGCCAGAAAGTTGTGCATGTAACATTACAGCAACTCGCACGCAGTGGTAATGTCAGCAGAGGTCGGCTGGTCACAAGGCCGGCAGCACAGAGAATGGACCTGTCTTCACAAGGCAGAATAATTGGTCCACTGAGACAACCCTCTTCACAGCTGCTCTGTGATGTGTGGCTGATTCTCCACAACAAACAAGCAAAGTACTCATGTACTGGAAACGCTGAGTTGTATTGTCTCTTGGTCCACGCTGGTTAAGGCTCCTGCACGAAAGGTGTTGTGAGGTTTATGTGCCGTTCTTCAGCTCCCATTCCTGAAAATGAACACAAAAATAATATATGATGAGAGACTGTGGGCGAGCTAGAAGTGACATGCTCATCTGTCATTCAGCACTGGAGAATATTGCTGTAATTAAGCTCACATATGTTACAATCCAAATGGATCTCATTTTAGTTTTTCTAAATTCTAACTCTGGCCTAGGCTACAAAATTAAATTTGCCTCCACAGCTTATGCAGAATATAATACTCCTATTTCTAGATTATTACATAAAACAGAGCAATGTGTACTGTAATCCATGGTCCTGTAGTCTTCTCCCAGTGCTGGTTCCAGTTGTAAGTTTTACATCTTGCCATTCTCGAATCGGTTTTGGTAATTCCCCTCTTGCTGGAGTCATCAAGTACAATGCAGGACCAGCAGCCGTTGCTAGTCCTGCATTGTGCTCACCCATTGCTTCGACTGCGGGAAGCCTTCAGTTCAGTCAAACCGAAGGTCTGCTGTACGGGCTAGTCACAATAGCCCGGACAGCAGCTGAAAAGCTCGGTTGAGCTGAACATACAGCCAAAGCGGGGAGAACGGTCTGCCGAAAAAAAAAACCCAGGATAGGCTCCCCCTTCCAAAGCTTGCCAGACCCTTTAGCCCCAGCTAAAAAAAAAAAAATGTGTGGGGTTCCCCCAAAAGCCCACCTACCCGAACCAAACTCATCTAAATGTACAATTTGACAGGTGCCACTGGTTCCGCCTATCTATTGTCATATAGCCGGGACATGTGAAATTGCTGATGAAAGGTCCCGGCAAAATTACAACAAATGGGCGGAGCCAGCAGTGATGTCTTCACACAAGTGCAGGGCGGGATTTTTCACACAAGTGCAGTAAGAAAATGATGTTTGCCACAATTTTGATGCAGTTTCATCAATGGCGATTCATGTTAAACACAATTAATATTCAATGCACATACAGCGCACCATACCTAAACTGCAAACGGACCCTTTTTCTGCATCAGGGTGTCTGTTACAGGCTGCCAACACAGAAGAGCAATAGCGATACTGAGACATAGCATTGTCAATCCATAACATGAAATTCCTCCACAAAGAACTTCAAAGCTTACATGTACTTTAAATTAAATCTCTCCTTTTACTTAACCAATGAGATTTCTAGTTACACAAAAACTACTCTCACCTTTGCTTTCCTTAGAACGTGTCCTCGTACCGGGGAGTTTTTTGGTGCAGGTTGCCGTTTTAATGCTGAGGCACTATTTACTGGTAGGGAACATTCCACATCACTTGTATCACAGCTGGAGATTGGAGAGTTCTCCACTGTTCTGTGCCTGAGGACTGGAGACTGGAGAAAGAATAAGTTGGTTCATATTTTAATAATACATCTAGTCAGGAAAAGATATTCAAGACAAACAACTTGCTTTCTTATTAAACTTGGCCATACCTGCGGTCTTGAGGTCTCATTTTTGGGTTCGATAGCAAGACCCAGTGTGATCCCACCATTCATGGCCTTCTTTAGACTTTCCTTCACCTCTGTCAGCTCCAACTCCAGATTTACTCGTTCACCCTCTTTCAGTTTACACTCATCCTCCAGCTTTCTCAGCTTCTCCTCCAGCAAGACCTGAGATTTTCTTCCTGCAGAACATAGTTATGATGGACCACATGATTTACAACGCTTTCATTACTTTACTTCCAAACCCCTAAATGGAAATACTATTTAAAGCGGGTTTACTATAGATTGAAAACTAAGATTTTCCACATATACGGTTTGAATAACAACCATTCTTCTGAACAGGAGCTGAACCCGCACACCATCAGTGGTCGTATCTTAGGTATTCTACTTGACCTTATTTATGAAGAGTCAAAAAAAGAAACTCCCCACCACAAAAGTTATCTTTCGTTCATTCTGTAACACCAGGAAGAAACAGATTGGTTTTTACGAGATAAGCACAGTGAGGGGAATTTATCAAAACTGGTGCAGACAAAATCTGGAGCAGCTGTGCGCAGCAACCAATCAGCTTCTCTCTTTCACTTTCAAATATTAACTGACCAGACTGAAGAGAGATGCTGATTGGTTGCCATGCACAACTGCTCCAGATTTTGTCTCCTCCAGTTTTGATAAATTCTCCTCAATGTGTTCTTCCATCAGATAATTCATACATAGGCCATCATAGAAAGGTGATACTACTACCACTTTCCATCTCATGGTGGTCCTTTCATTCTTGGCTTATGGCTTTTTGATCTGAAAGCCACAGATCTCTAATTCTGAGGGTATGTCTAGATATAGACTAGCATTATATACTAGCTTTTATGATTCTGCTATGAATTTATATATACTTGTCACCAAGAATGTTTTATTCATTTGTTTTGAAGGTAATGTTTTATTTTGCTTGATGATGGCACTACATGGATCAATTATGACAATTTGGTATTGTGACAGAGCAACAGTCTGTCATTGCATAAAGATGCAGTTAGTGCCTGGTTTAGCAGTGAAGGGATCCCTAATTAGGTTTGAGGGTCACTATACATATTTCAATCTGACTGTACAATCTTTGCGCAATCAACTATGGATATACCAAATGTAATATGATCTAGCTAAACTATACAATACATCTGTATCCAGTTAGGCACGCCTTCACACTACACACAGTAGTTGTTGATAGATCTAAAATTGTACAAACAGATTGCAATGTGCATAGTGAGCTTGAGACTCATTTTAGAAAGGTGCGTGTTGCCCACAAAAGAAAGTATCTTTGACTGAGGCCCCATTCACACCTATATTTTAGGTGGGATTAGGGATTCTTGTGTTAGGGACTCGCAATTTCCTGCAGCAGGAATCACTAATCTGCCATTTAAAAGTGGCAGTTGTCACCCATACAAGTTAATGATTGGGTGAGTCACTGCATTTGAACCATATTTGAATCGTATGTGATATGATCATATGTAGTTAGGAATCAATCACTATGCTCAGACGCACAAGCGAATAATTGATTCCAAACCGCATGTAAATACATCACATACAATTGCATGCGACGTGCAAGCGCTTATATGCAGCTTATATGCAGCGGCTGTCACTCGATCATTAACTTGTATGGGTGACAGCTGCTGCTTGTAAATGGCAGATTAGGGATTCCTGCTGCAGGAAATTGCAAGGTGTGAATGGAGCCTCAGTTAGTGCTCCGTGCCAAACAGACAGATTGTAGTAGGAACAGCATGTGTGTTGATAGACACAGAAAAAACATGTGTCCAGGGCTGTCATGCCTTACAGTCAGGCACTCTGGTCAGGCTGATGGCGGAGGGAGAAGTTCAGCCTGTGCTACAACAAGCTGAGGGTCTAAGCAGACCAAATAGCCGAAAGGGTTAATACCTACTTTGTATCTGTGTAATGCTGAGAACCCCTGGGAAGGTAAACCTTATGTAAAGGTAGTTCTGTTGATGAATAAAAGTCGACAGGAGTCCTAAAATGTATGCTTCAACTATGGCCAATTTAAATTGTCATTTTGTGTTTAAGTGACACAGGTGTTGTCACAAATGTTCATTTTGTAAAGTTCCCAGTACATCTAGACTCCCAGTTTTGTGATGGATGACCAGCAAACACTTGGCAACATTAAAGAGAAGCAGAACCAAGGACTGCAAGTTTGCTTTAACCGGACATCAAAACCTCTTGACAATGGCAGCTAACAAAAATCACCTGCATTGGCTTCAATTGCTGCTCTTGTGTCTCGTTTCTCTTTGCGGAGCTGGGCTAGTCTGTTTCGAAGAGCCTCTTTCTTTTTCAGCAGCTCCTCCTCTGTGACCTGAAGTCTCTTAGCATCTGCCTCCACCCGATTCTTCCCATATTTATATTGTTCAGCATCTGGATTACACAGGAAATATATCATGAGCAAACAAAAAAGTCAACACTACAGTTATTGTTTCATCAACGCATTATATACACACATACACATTACTGATTAGTAAATAATACTATGAGTACATGGCAATATGGTATAAACCTTGTCTCTAGTCCTGTAATTAATGATGTATGTAGTGCGCATGAAGGTTGCAGTACTTGCTCATTATACAGTGTATGCAAGTGTTGCTTCCCATGAAGAAAAGCACAGTTGTTCAATGCAACAAAATTTGCAGCAAAAGCTTTGAGAGCACCATTCTGCAAATACAGATTATGTTACACACAGTCTAGAGCAACCCATGACCCCTTATAATATGCACAAGCCAAACCAGAGTTGGTTACACTGCCACCTAAGGCCTTGTTCACACCAAGCGCAGAGCAGTTGCAAACGGATCAAAACTGTGTCCAATGTATTCCTATGGTATTTTTAGCTCCAGTTCACATCGCAGCGTGCAGTTCCAGGGCAGGTAAAAAAAACTGCAGCAGGCCCTATTTTACCTGCTCTGGATCTGCAAAACGCATCAAAAACGCATGCAAATGCCTGGAAGGCACTGAAAGCCCATGTTAAACTAAAAAAATATATATATTTTTTTTTTTAACCAAAAACGGCCCGGAACGCATCAAAAACGCGGCACAACCCACTGCACTGCGTGTGCAGAAACTTGATCTGCTCTGCATTTGGTGTGAACAAGGCCTAAATGTTACCAAATTATATATATGAGGAAGGCAAGTCCTGCCTCTCTTGCCACAATGAGGGGGGCAAAATAGTATTAGGGGAATGAGATTAGCCCCCTTCTGTAGTGCCAAAGGTGAACAGACTGGAACACTAATTGTTACATAGTTAGTCAGGTTGAAAAAAGACCATCGAGTTGAACCTATAGAGATGTAAAAAAAAAAAGACTAAACAGTTATGCCCACAATTACACACTGTTGATCCAGAGGAAGGCCAAAAAAACAAACACACACTATAACAGCGGTCGCCAACCGGTGGTCCGCGAGAAAATTTTGGTGGTCCCCGGGCCCCTTTGATGCCGTGCGGGCTGGGCAGTCATTGAAGCAGCACGGAGGCTCCGGGGCTGCCTCTCACTGACTCAAGCAGCAGCTGTAACAAGGATTGCGCGGCTCTCAGTACAGAGCGGGCACTGCAGGAGGCGGGGCATGTCGTCAGTAACCGGACAGAGCAGGCTGCGGGATATAGAAAAAGTGTGAAGAACCCAGGTAATAGTGGCTCAGTGTGGGGGAAGGGGAGGAACGGGGGTGGGGGGGGGCAGTGCTGAAGCTAGAGGGGGCATGTGCCCCGGGCGCCGCTGGCAGAACCAGGGACAGATTTGATAGGGGGAGAAACAATTAACATTATTACTGGTGCGGGCGGCACCGCTCCCTCCCTCCCTCCACCAGCACTGCCACACCTGCATAGCATGGTTCAATTTGCTCCAACAGGGGAAAAAAAATTCCTTCCTGATCCCATAAGGCAATCGGATATTCCCTGGATCAACAATCTCTGATGCTTAATATACCTATAATAACTCACTGTTATAGTTTGTGTAGACAGTGTTAATTTTGTCGACTAAAAATTTTCATCATAGTTTTCGTCCACAACACTTTTTCATTGACTAAAACTAGACTAAAACTAAAAAAAAAAACAGAAGTAATGGTGACTAAAACAATTTCGACATTTTATTCGACTAACTTAAACTAGACTAAATTGAAAATACTCAATATTATTGTTTCTACGACTTGGTTTAATTTAATTTTAAGATAAATAAAGACATGTTATATATCACAGCAGTTAAATCTGTGTCTGTATTGCATGTTCAAACCTTAATATCATAAGTAATAGGTTAACAGATGTTTACTCCAGAAGTATACAATGAGATTGGAAATTACTCTTTAAATCAGCGGTCTCAAAGTACCGGCCCGCGGACCAACTCCGGCCCACAAGCTGGTACTAAGTTGCCCGCAGCCAGCTGACAAGTGCCCGACTTGCGGGAGCAGCTACACGGTCTGCATCTCCGACGGATGCAGACCGCAGAGCTGCTCCTGTCGGCTCCGGCCGGAGCTCTGTCAGTTCTGTTTCCTATATTTCAGGTACGATTAGGGATTCCTGTGTCACAAACTTGCGTTTTCCTGCAGCAGGAATCCCTAATCTGGTGTTTACATGCAGCAACTGTCACCCATTCAAATTAATGATCGGGTGACAGCTGCTGCATGTTAACGCCTGCATACTGCATGTAATATGATTACATGCAGTTACAAAAACAATCACTATCCCGGGATACACATTTGTGTATCCCGGGATAGTGACAGATTTCTAACTACATGTAATCCTTTCACATATGATTACATGCGGTGTGCAGGCGTTTACATGCAGCAGCTGTGACCCGATCATTAATTTGAATGGGTGACAGTTGCCGCTTGTAACATGTGCATACATTAACACTGGTACCGTATATAGTAGCGGCCCCCACGGGATTAGAAAATGTGTCCAGTGGCCCCCGACTAAATTGAGTTTGAAACCCACTAGATTTTATTCAACTAACAATTCAGATGACTAAAATATGACTAAAACTAAATAGCATTTTAGTCAAAAGACTATGAGGGTTATTCAGCAGCCGAGTGAATAACCGAGCCAAAGTAAACTGAGCCAAACGGAGTTCGGCTATTCACTTCGGCTCTGTACAACTGAATCGAAGGATCAGTTGAAGCTACGGCTCGATCCTTCGGCTCCTTCGTGAATAACCCTCTATGACTAAAACTAAATCGAAATTTGCTGTCAAAATAAAACACTGAGACATAGTTAAGGTAAGGTGAAGAAGACAGAGAGTGAACAGAAGATGGAATAAACAGCATAAGCGAGGAAAGAAACACGGAGCTAGTCTGAACAAGTACAATCGTAAGGAGA